CAACAAGCAACAAGCACAATAACAAAGAAACAATAAACAAGCACAACAACAAGCACATCAATAACAAGTAACAAACAACAACAAGCAAGCAACAAGCACAACAACAACGAGCAACAAGCAACAAGCAACACAACGAACAACAACAAACAACAAGCACAACTAAAACAACACATCACAACAACAACAACAAGAAGCAACAAGCACAACAACAACAATAACAACAACAATAACAACAACAACAACAACAACAATAACAACAACAACAACAACAAGCAACAAGCAACAACAACAACAACAAACAACAACAAAAAACAACAACAACAAACAACAAGAACAACAACAACAACAACAACAATAGAACATACCTGTCTGGGACGTAGGTCCCTTGCAAGTCTCTCCGATAAAAGTATTGGTGGATGTTATGCAACAAAAGTTTCACAATTGACAGAAGAGAATACTAGTTAGATACAAATTATTTTGTTAGTAGATGGTTTTTTAATTAATTACTTGTTAAAAAAATAGTACTTATTTTTCTCTAGTTATTTTTAGAGAGAGAGAACATGAGTTAAGATTAATCATTTAAAAGAACAATAGAAGTAATAAGAATGCAACATACCAGTCTGCGACGTAAGTCCCTTGCCAACCTCCCCAATAAAGGTCTTGGTATATCTAAATCAACATCATCTGTAGAAGCATCTGCACAATAACAACAACAACAACAATAATAACAACAAGCACAACAACAACAAGCACAACAACTAAAAGGATAACAATGATTACAAGCACAACAACAAACAACATGCACAACAAGCACAAAAACAAACAACAACAAGCATAACAACAAACAAGCAACAAACAACAACAACAACAACAACAAACAAACAAACAACAACAACAAAAACAAGCACAACAACAACAACTACTACAACAACAACTACTACAACAACAACAAGCAAGCAAGCAAGCAAGCAAGCAAGCAAAAAGCAATAAGCATAACAACAACAAGCAACAATAACAACAACAAAAAGCAACAGGCACAACAACAACAACAACAACAACAACAACAACAACAACAACAACAACAACAACAACAACAACAACAACAACAACAACAACAATAACAACAACAACAACAACAACAACAAAAACAAAAACAAAAACAAACAACAAGCAAGCAAGCAACAACCATAACAACAACAAGCAAAAAAACCACATAAACAACAACAACAAAATAAAACAATAACAAGCACAACAACAAACAATAATAAGCACAAAAACAAACAACAACAAGCACAACATCAAATAACAAACGCAACAAAAATAACAACAACAACAAGCACAACAATAAAAACAAACAACAAGCACAACAATAACAAAAATGACAACAACAAGCACAACAACAGTTAACAACAACAATAACAACAAGCAACAAGCACAACAACATTAACAAGCAACAAGCACAACAACAACAACAACAACAACAACAACAAGCGCAAGAACAACAACAAGCAACAACAACAACAATATCCACAAAAACAATCAACAACAACAAACAAACAAACAAAAAACAAGAACGACAACAACAACAAGCATAACCAACAACAACAAAAAACAACAAGCACAACAACAACAATCACAACCAACAACAACAACAAGCAACAACCACAATAACAAACAAACAATAAACAAGCACAACAACAAGCAACAAGTACAACAATAACGAGCAACAAGCAAAACAATGAACAATAACGAGCAACAAGCAAAACAATGAACAATAACGAGCAACAAGCCAAACAATGAACAACAACGAACAACAAGCACAACTAAAACAACACATCACAACAACAATAACAATAAGCAACAAGCATAACAACAATAACAACAACAAGCAAGCAAGCAAGCAACAAAAAACAAGCAACAACAACAACAAACAACAACAAAAAAAACAATAACAACAAACAACAAGCACAACAACAACAACAACAATTGAACATATCAGTCTGCGACGTAGGTCCCTTGTAAGCCTCTTCAATAAAAGTCTTGGTGGATGTTATGCTTCAAAAGTTTCACAATTGACAGAAGAGAATACTAGTTAGATACAAATTATTTTGTTAGTAGATAGTTTTTTAATTAATTACTTGTTAAAAAATAGTATTCATTTTTCTCTGGTTATTTTTAGAGAGGGAAGAGAACATGAGTTTAAATGAATTATTTTAAAGAACAATAGAAGTAATAGAATGGAACATACTAGTCTGCGACGTAGGTTCCTTGCCAACCTCTCCAATAAAGGTCTTGGTAAATCCAAATTAACATCATTTGCAGAAGCATCTGCACAATAACAACAACAACAACAAGCACAATAACATCATCAACAACAACAACAACAACAACAACAACAACAACAACAAGCATAACAACCAACAACAACAAGAAGCAGAACAACAAGAAACAACAAACAAAAACAACAAGAAGCACAACAACAACAATAAGCACATCAGCAAACAACAACAAGCGCAACAACATCAACAAACACAACTACAAGCAAAAAGCACAATAAGCGCAACAAGCAACAAGCACAACAACAAAAAGTAAAACAAGCACAACAATAAAAACAAGCACAACAATAAAATCAAGCACAACAAGCACAACAACAAAAACAAGCACAACAACAAACAACAACAATCATAACAACAAACAAGCAACAACAACAACAACAACAATGACAAACACAACAACAAACAACAAGCACAACAAAAAACAACAACAAACAATAAGCACAACAACAACAAGCACAACTACAACAACAAACAACAACATTAAGCAACAAGCATAACAACAAGTAACAACAACAACAACAACAACAACAATAACAACAAGCACACAACAAAACAACAACAACATTAACAACTAAAAGTAACAAGCACAACAACAACAAGCATAACAACAACAAAACAAATATAACAACAACAACAACAACAACAACAACAACAACAACAACAACAACAACAATAACAACAACAACAACAACAACAACAACAACAACAACAACAACAACAACAACAACAACAACAACAACAACAAGCAACAACCATAACAACAATAAGCAGCAACAACAATCACAACAACAAAATAAAACAACAAACTACAACAAACAAAAAGTCTACATGTTTCTCATGTCTCTACCAAAGATCAACTTGTAAACATTCTTATCAAGTCTCTTACGCCAACAAAATTGATGAATTACGTCCACGATAAAAGTTATGAATGATAACTTTATCTTGAGGGGTATATAGAGATAATTATCCTTGGAGAATATTTTCATCAAGAAAATGTTATAATCGTTAAGTATGGGTTTAAGTGGTAACATTCTTATCAAGTCTCTTACGCCAACAATAAAACAACAACAAACAAAAATAAACACAAAAACAAACAACAACAAGCAAAAAGTCTACATATTTCTCGTGTCTCTACCAAAGATCAACTTGTAAACATTCTTTTCAAGTCTCTTACACCAACAAAATTGATGAAATTACGTCCATGATAAAAGTTATCAATGATAACTTTATCTTGAGCGGGCATATAGAGATAATTATCCTTGAAGAATATTTTCATCAAGAAAATGTTATAATCGTTAAGTATGGGTTTAAGTGGTTACTACACATTCAATGTCATTAGGAGTGTGCATGAATTATAAACCAAACCAAACCAAACCACATATATAGTTTGGTTTGGATCTTAAAATCATTTATATAAAACCGGTTTATTTGTTTAAAACCGATTTACAAGTGGATTGGTTCGGTTTCAAACTGGTTTTTAAAAAAAACAGTTTTTTTAAAAACCTGTTTTTAACCGGTTTCTCTCAAAGCCAGTTTTTTATTTTCTTTATTTTTTTAAAAATTAATTTTATTGCAAACTATCAAATAATTGATAAACCACCTGAAACTTATTTTACTTTAAATTTATTGCAAACTATCAAATAATTGATATAAATCAATTAATCAATTTTATTCCAATTTTACATTGAATTAAATCAACACCCCATACATCTTAAACTTTAAACTACATATATGTTTTATTTATTACATATACATTATCTTAATTGTCATTTATGACCATGAAACAAAAAAAAGACAGAGTTTGAAAAGTGGATTAACCATGATTTTAAAAAGTGGACATCAATTTTTAATGATTTTAGTAAAATGAATTTGGGTGCACCATATTTTTAAATTTGATTCTTTGTGTATCAATTTTTTTCACACCCTTAAATGTCATACCTTTATATTAATTATAATTGTATTATATATGTAACTTTGTACTAGTAATGAAATAGGGTTATCATTTACGTAGATGTTTCAACAAGTCCAATCAAAAAGTATTTGCTCCAAAAGGTTGTCAAAATCCGGGACAATTTTGCATGTCTTTCCAGCCGAACTGGATTTGTGAACTCTATGAGAACAAGATAGGACAGTCGTAATTGCAATTCGTATATAATGTCCCCTAACAAATTCAAGTGGGGATTAGCGCATTTAAGTGAAGATGGTATGCAATTAAATAGTACATGAACTCCAGTTTTTCCCAAGTTATGTATCTTAATCCATTATAGTGATAAGAAATCGAACCCAATTCAAAAACCAGTGATAAGAAATCCCTTATGTTGTTGTAATAATGTGAATACGTATCTATCATGAATATAAGTCTAGCTTGCACTGTGTAAAGAATGAAAATTCAGAAAAACATAAATTATGGAATATATATTGTTTCTATTGTCTTCGTCAGCAATACAACTTTAATATCAATTCTACAAAAACAGCAACCTAACTCTTACAATTTCCTGTAAAAATTCAAATTGATGACATAACACAACAAATGATAAATAATGGATTGAAAGAGAAAAAAATAGTCCCTCATATTAGGGTTCCCAAGGTTCAAACAGCTATCAAAATTGTAGTAGGTGGAATAAATATTCCTTGCGCTATTTTTCTTCACTCGTAGCTTCTCTTTTACCATCTATCTCCCCCTCTGCCACCACCAAAACCTCTGCCACCACCACCTCGTCCTCTACCAAACCTACCAAACCCTCTTCGATTAGCAAACCCACGATCACCAAATCTTCCCCTACTTGCTTCCTCTCTTTGCTGTAAAGCAGGCAATTCTGTTACAACCTTTAGGCTTACATTAACAGCATTCTTCTGACCTGAGCACGAAAAAAATCAAATTGATTACATGACCAAGATTAAAGCTAGTATACTAATTATCCAATAGTTAAAGGATGTTATTATACTATCTATGCGAAGAATGGGCGGTGAAAAAAATACTTTCCAATGCAAAAAAACTAGTCAGTTATGAAGGAAAATTACCGGCAAGAAATGCATCTAAGTCCTTGACTGGTACGTCAAAAACAGCACCCTGTCCATCTGCAGTGAGAGCAAGACCTTGCACCCCATCAACCTTATCCTCAGGTATGAATCTCCTCAGGGTTCCAAATGCAAAGCTGACAACAACAGATAAAAGCATGAATCGAACAAGGGAAAAACACACTGGTGAAATTTAAAACATTCATTGTTTATAGTTAAAAACGTTATTTATAACAAAAATGATTTCAGAGAATCTAAAAGCAAACAAGCCCCTTAGTTATTAGTTATATATAGTGAAGTTCTTACGATGGGGTGAACATAGGCTTTCCTCCCTCGAGAAGTAGTGTAACGTAATTCTCCATCGAAGTCAGCAGTGATCTTTTCTTTACCTCAGTATAACCCTGCAAATAAAAGTTTCCCACATCAGAGACACATTTGATGTAGACTTCATATTTAGAAAAATATAATTATAAGAAAATAATGGAAGGACATTGTACTCACAACAGCCTTGGCAAGAGCTTTTGCAAGTAACTCAACAGCTGATAAACCAGAGTTGTTCAAGAGTTCCTCGGCAGCAGCTTTGAATGAAGGAATCACACTACATTCATGACCCGTGTTAGCAGCGGCAAAAGAGTGTTAACAGTGAAACACGATTTACATACAATATCACAAGCATACCTATCAGACACGTCAGAAATCAATTCAGCCGCTTCCCCACCAATAGCTTTGGCAATTTCATCAGGCTGAGGAGCAGACACATGTTCAAATTTAATACCAGCTTCTCTTTCAATTTTCGATATATTTGACCTTCTAGGATCGTAAAGCATAACAGCAACTCCAGTGTTGCCTAACAAAAACAAAACCAATTATATAAGCCAAAACTTATACAAGAATATCAATATACAATTTCCACCATAAATAGCCAAATTTCAAATATACCAGCTCTTCCTGTTCGTCCAGATCGATGTATATATGCTTCTACATCTCGGGGAGGTTCACACTAAAACAAATTTGATTCAGAATATCAGATAAAAAGATATATAAGAAATGGAATATTATAATTAATATAATACTATATATGAACAAGTGTACCTGGATAATCAACTGAACATCATTGATGTCAAGACCCCTGGCTGCTACATTGGTGGCCACCAATGTCATGAATTTCCCAGACCTAAAACCTTTCAATGTAATCTGCAATTAACATGACACAGTTCAGATAGAACATATTAGCCAATAACAATTTTACACAGCAACCCTCCTTTAAACCATCATTCAAATGAAGGTAAACAGAATCAAGAATTATATCAATTCATAGCTTACCTCGCGCTGTGACTGCTGAATGTCACCATGGAGAGCTCTTGCTCCAGGCAACAATCCAGCAAGCTCAGAAGCAGACTCCTTTTTCTCTGCAAATATAATTGTCCGGCCACCACTGAAACAGGACCACATCCAAAATATCAATTTTGAAGTTTTAAAACATGCATTATATTATTAAGTACTAAATCACAAAATGACTGATTAAAAATCACCTGCTATAACAGCGAATAATATCAGGGATAACCTGAGCCCTGGCAGTACTATTACAAGGAAGGATAATATGCCTAACATTGGTGCTAGCCTTCATTTTCTCATTACCAACAAGATCAGCAGTTGCCTTGTCTTTTTTAAGAAATTTCTTAGAAATCTGTCAACACAAAAAATAGCCAGATAAGGGAACAGGTCCAATATAACAACGAATAGACACCATGAAATCAGAACAAGAAAAAATCATATAGGTGCATACTTGTTGAACCCAGCTTGGCAAAGTAGCACTGAAAAGAAGTGTCTGAACTTTAGTAACATCTTGTACCTTACCTGCAAACATCGAATATGAGAACATTGCAATGCCAAAATGTAATGCAACCTTAAAAATTGAGCAACCACAAATTGAGTGATGTGAAGTAGACAGCTCCACAGTGGATATATGGGGAATCATATTAGTAGAATGTTAGCTGGGTTTCAAGAAAACGTAAGAGGCACTTGGAAGAGATAACTTGGACTAGTTACAAAACATAAGCATTTAGACCAAGTGTTCAAAATGGCTAGTAAAAATAGATTAAAATACACCAATAAGGTGTTTTCAACTAAACCTCATATCTTCTCTACACAATGCAAAAACGTCATAAGCCAAATTAACATTGACAGAAACAAACCAAATACCTAGAATAAGTTCAACATCATCAACAAAACCCATCCTCAGCATCTCATCTGCCTCATCAAGAACACGAAACTTTAGGTGACTCAGGTCAATATTTCCCCTCTCAATATGATCCTGCAAAAAATAATCACTTCTAAGTACACACTTTCTGCCTAACTAACACCTATGTCCATAAAAAGAAGTCACACTTAACAAAACACTACAACTAAAGTGAGTAATTACCTTAATACGACCTGGTGTTCCAATAACTATATCAACGCCTCTACGAAGCTTAGCCTCCTGGGCTCCATACGGAGCTCCACCATATACAGCGCAAGCAGCCAATCCCAATGACCCACCATACACTTCAAAGTCAGCATACACCTATTACACAACAAACGATACACATAAATATCTATAAATAACATGACACATAGAAAACTGAGCCACTGGTTCAGGTATAGCATACCTGGTTGGCCAATTCCCTGGTAGGTAAGAGCACAAGAACACTTGGAACTCTCCCATAGCCAGTCTTTCTAACCGATTTTGCCAGTCCATTTGTCAGTGACTCCAATATAGGCAAAACAAATGCCAGAGTTTTTCCCTGTATTAAATTAAAACCAATTATCGCATAAGCTAATTTAGAGATTAGTCTTAAACAACCCTAAAAACATGTAAGCCTTTACTAAATTATTAAAAACATGTTAATCCAACTAGTCGATATGTCTAAATTACAGCTTTATACAATCCTCTAAAATCACCATCCTTAAACCCTAAAAACATGTTAAATTACTTAATATCTAAAAATAATTTTAAAATTCACCAGAAAACCATACATCTAACATCTAAAAACATCATCCATAAACCCTAAAAAAACATGTTAAATTACTTGATTATTAAACACATGTTAATCCAGCTAGTTCATATGTCAAAATTAACTTTGTATAATCCTCTAAAGTTACCACCCTTAACCCCGATAAGGATGTTAAATTACTTAGTTTCTAAAAAATAATTATAAACTTTAGAGAACTAATTAAGAACAACGAAGACAACCACAAACCTGACCAGTACGAGCACGACCAACCAAATCAGAACCATCAAGAATAGTATTAAAAGTCATAGCTTGAATAGGGAACAAAGCCTCGATCCCCTTTTCTTTCAGCTTCATCTTCAACGGTTCCGAAATTCTAAAATTTGAAACCGCATTCGGATCATCCTTCTTCACAACAACTTCTTCTTCCACATCCTCATCTTCCACCTTCGCCTTTTTCTTCTTCTTCTCCTTCTTAACTTCAGAGCCAGCTTCATTCTTCACTTCTTCATCATCATCAGAACTCTTCTTCCTTTTCTTCGAACTCTTCTTCGCCGTTTCCTGATCCGAAACGACGTCGTTCTGAAGCTTTTCCTTCTTCTTCTTCATTGATTTTTGCTTAGGACTGTCGATTGAAACGGCAACGGCTTCGTCGGTGATGGGAATTGAAGGAACCATGTCGAGAAACGAAACGCGGGGTTTTGGTTGTGAGGATTTTTTTTCTCTCTTGCTTCGGTGGCTGTGAATTGCACAGCTGAAGCAAGAGATTTAAGAGGAATTTTTCAGAAGAGGGTTTTGGGCTTTTATAGATTTTGAGATTGAGTTCTGACCGTTGGATTTTGAAACCCTATTTTGTTTTTAACGTGGACCGTTTGATTTTGTATTTATTTATTTGTTTATTTATTAGCTGAATCTTAATAGTGTCTCACACTCTCATGTTTTCGCTTACTTGGAGACCAAACCTATTTTTTTGTTTTTTTTAGTTAGGGTTATAAGGTTAAAAATATAGTATAAGCATAAAAGAAAAAGTTAAAAATATCTTTGCAAACAAACAGCCTTTCTTTTTGGGGGAGTTGTTTCTTCACCGCATAGTTAAATGTAGAAGAATCAAATCAATCACTAAAGATCGAATCTAAATAAATAAAATTGACATTTTTTTTCAAAATCAAGAAAATATAGCACTCATTCACAACTGACCATATGAATCAAACCATTAATTTTTATTATTATTTATTTTATTTTAAGGTTGATGGTAACATGTGTCTAAGAATACAATTTAATCATTTGTTTGTAGTAATATTTTTTTGAAATGGGCATATTTAATTTTTTTTAACTATTCAATAAAAAAAATTTGAAATAAATTTTTTAAATTTTTAATTATAATTAATGAATTCAATCGTTATAGTAGTTTAGTTAAATAATTATAGAGTCAGTAGTCATTACTTATTAAAATTAAATTGAATGATATAACAAACAATAGGCAATGGACATAATCTATAATTGAATAATGACAAAGAGTTAAAAAAAAATTACATTAACGTCATCCGATCATATGTTCCACTCAAATGTAAATAGTTTTATTATTAAATAACACCTAACCTAAGATAAATCTAACTACTCGTGTTGAAATTATTCAATACCATAAACATAAACTCGAATATCATGAAAAATTATCATAAGCATAAACTCGAATATCATGAAAAATTATCCAAGAGAAAAGCTCTCCAGTGACTTCAATGGACTCCAATGGCCTCCACAAACTCCAAAATCGCTCAAATTCGTCACTTTCTCTCAAGGAAATTGAACTCTTTTTTCTTCTCCATTTTTTTCTTTTAAACCCTCAAAAGTGTATTGAGGAGTAACGTGGCCGTGAGGAGTAACGCAAACACATTACGTAATAATGGCAAAAACGCAGACGCGTTATTAAATGGCGCGGGCACGTTGATTCTAGTGGCTTCAATGTGTTTTTTTTCTTTTTTTCACCAATTTTTACACTAAGTCCTTTTTTTACCCTTTGTGACTTTTTCATTTATTTTTCACACTTTTGCTTCTAACTTACTTATTTTTAGTATGATTTGTTTGATATTTTTGCTAAATCACTAGATCATATACATTCGTCAATTTAATTTGTGACACATATATTTTTTTAAATGCAAACACCAATTCTTTAGCATGTGCTCTACATTAAAAAAAATTATTTGAAACATGGATACTTTACAAATTAGTGGAGAAATTTGATTATTGTAAGTTTTTTTATTAAAAAAAATTAGTTATTTGAATAAATGACAATTAAAATCTACAATTTTTTATTTTTTATTATTTTTTTAAAACGTACTTTTTATTTATATTTTTAAAAATGATTGTTATGAACATATTTTTTTAATATGATAAAAAAATTAATTCATCTTTATAAATTAAAAGTTTAATTTTGACATCAAGTAACATAAATATATATTATTAAAGATAAAAATAGTCAAAATCACACAATTTTTTAAAAATAATTTTTATAAAAAATTATTTGAAATAATATCAAATTTAAGTTTTTTTTTAATTTTGATATCCAAAAAAAATTATAACAAAAATATGGAATAATGAAAATAACAGTTTAAGAAAAATTATTTATACCGATTTTTATTTGAATTTTTTTTAAAACAGTTATATGCAAAAAATAATTTAACAAAATTCTATAATACAATAAAAATCATTTTAAAAAACTAAAACAAACGGGTCCTAAATCAAACCAAAATAAAGAGGAGATATTTAATATTAAAAGTTTAATTTTCATCATGGTGGAGCTTCATATTGATAATAATGAGGTTTGCAACACTCTCACCAATGAATCTTATAAATTGGGGTTTGGACAAAGACTACTTCAAACAATCAAGTTTCTCCTAACTCAAGATTCTTGAAATATTTACAAAAACGAATCAATAATTGTGTTATGGTAGATTTATAAATTTTTATTTATGAGAGCAAAAACGAATCAATAATAAATATTTTTTAAAAAATTTAATTATATGATCCCTCAATTCTACCTTATTGAGTAAATTTTGTACTCTCTCTAAATCAATTAAGTATGTGTTCATTTTTAAATAATGAATCACTTGATATTATCATATAGAAACCTTTGTAAAAGGTTAAAGATAAAATTTATAAGTTACATTCATTAAAAAATGGAAACACCAAATGTGAGAGTGAAGTAAAACAAAACTTTTAAGTAATTTAAAGATAAAATATATAACTACATGTAATAATTGAAAAATGGACACACCATCGATTTTTAGTGCACAAATGACAAATGTGAGAAGTGATTCACATTTTTCTAATTTAAAATACCAAAATTGTTTCTATGAAAGAGGTAAAATAAGGGAACAAATATGTAATTAAGGAAAAAAAATTAAATAAAATTCTTATTAAACACATTTTAAATTTTTATACAATATTTCATTTTTCAAAACACATTTTTGTTCAACATACTAAAATAAATTAGTTATACAATAATTATATGTTAAACATAAAAATCATGTAACTCTTAATTAAATACTTTAATTGTATCTCTTAATTAAATACTTTAGCTTCCTATATCATAACAAATCTATTTAAAATAAAAAACACGGATATTTTAAAGTAATTATTTTTTAATATTTAACTTAACTAACTTGTTAAGAACTCCCTATGATAAAAATATATATTATTTTTTAAATATGAATTTATATAGGAGTGAGCTATCCTTCATACAAATCTAATGAGTGTCATATAATTCATAAGCGTAACCATTATTGTGTAATGAAATTATTTAATAATTAAAATGCTACGCATAACTAAAATTACTACATTTAAAAACAAAAGTTTTTGGGCAAGTGCCACCATCATCAAGGATGTGGATCCGTCACCGGTTGATATTATGGATAAATTGACACTTCGTCTAGAATTAGGATTTTGTGAGTATGAAGAAAATTCCTCCCACTAAATTGAAAACGGCATACCATTCGGATTTGTTAGAAATTTTGTAGAGAGTTTCTTAATCAATCTCGTAATACTCTTAGGCACTTTGCGAAATTTTTTTATGTCTTTCTATTTTCGAAGATACACATACGGACGCACCCTTTTTTCTTTACGCTGGATGCTTTCGGAGATGCAACTCCGAAATCTTATCAGAACAGTTTTTTTTTTTAAATCAAGTTTTGTTGGTCGTAGATGAAAATTAGTTGTTGTAGATGAATATAAAATGACATACATTCGTAAATAAAACAATCATAGATATATATAAGGAGTAATATGGTACATCAATGTCATCAAAAATATAGTACATCAAAAAAAAACATCACAGTCGCTACTGTGTATGCCTGGCCGCCTGGTCTGCCTCTCCCGCCTCCTCGACCGCCTAGTCTGCATCCTCGGCCATCGATCCCACCCGTCCTGACGCGATGCCTGCGGTACATAAGTGCCCCTCTTACCACCGTAATGATATCATCAAATACACGCTTGTGGTCAGACCCCTTAGGGAAGAAACTAACGGCAATGCCTGCCCGCCCCATCTCCATTATCTCACGACAGCCAGGCAGAACATCTTGAGTGTGGTCCAGATGAAACTGCTGATCCTCTAAGATCTCCTGATGAGCTAGTTTGGGTGGTGATCCCTCAGTAGTGGGCACCGTGTAGGTGATCGCGACTTTCTATGTCTAATACAACTAACTGCAAGTGCACAGTCTATCGCGTAGTAATAAAAGATATCGATCCCACAGGGACTCGTAATCAAACTAGTGTTCTCGGGAGTTACTATGTTTAGCTAGGTAGAATATGTTTTAAGGGAATAATGTTGTCACTAAAAGGGGAAACTAAGATTACTATTTAGATTTTAATCAATCGAATCGATATGTAGTAATTATGTTCTTCAGGGATTTGATAAGTTACTGGTGTATGAAATAGTTTCGCAGTTTGCTTAAGCAGAAAGTGGAGATTTGAAGACTCTCGTCTCACGATGGTTATTGACGCTAATCATAATCCTAAGGGCCTAACGTACACTTTCGTGTTCCGTTCGGGGTTAAAATTACTTTTTGGAAATCTCTAAGTTCTAATTAGTTTTAAAGTGCTTTCGCTGTTATTAAAACAAATGCCTAGTGTTTACTATCTGACTTTACCGCAGCTTTCGCTTGTTGGTTCGTATCTTAATTAATTTCCCACTTTCGTGGCAAAACTACTTTAAAACAAGTTCTCGCTTTCGCGACGAAGTTTATTTCGTAAATCAATTTTTAAACACTTAGACCATAAGTTATTTTTGTGAAAAGAAAGTTTTCAAACAAGAGTTATCAAATCCCATCCGAATTATTACTACATATCGATTACCTAAGTTTAGCTAGACATGGAATTTGGAAAAGCAAAACATAAATAATAATAATAAATAATAAATTGCATTATGATAAAATAAGAGTCGATCAAAATGAAAACCTGTAAATAATGCCAATTGGCCTTTGGGCAGATCCTCCACAGATGTTGGCAGGATTCTGTCTTTGGTTCCAATTCGATCGTACAGTGCAGTAACAAATACAGAAGAGCGAAAATGGGAATGAGTAGAATGGAAAGGGAAATAAAGGAAAGGGATACAATTGAAACTGGAGAAATGGATACAAATAATAAAAAGGCTGGAAATTAAATTTGCTCTTGAAAATAAAAATTGG